CAAGGATTTTCTCTGGAGAAGGGGTCCCGCAGGGCATGAGGAGGGATCGGGAGGGGGGAAAGAAACTTTCTGCTTAATGGGCAGTGGTGAAGCAGGGAGCAAAGTTCGCCCAGCAACCGCCAAATCTGCAGTTGTGCACAACCTCCTTGGCCTGGGGAGAAGTGCTGGGATGGAGAGGAGGGTCTCCAGTCAGCGCTTTGGGGGACCAACTTTGTGTGATGGGAGAGGGGCCTGGTGCCACTGGCAGGATGACACCCCGCTGGGCTGTCCCACTCTTGCACCCAGGCCTTTGGGACCTACTAACCAAGCTCAACCGGCTCCCCAACCTTCCAGGCCAGCCCTCCACACCTTCTGCGGCACCCTAGGGTGAGGGGGCACCACCTAGCCCATGAGCACATCAAAGGGAGGGAAGGGCCACGGAGGCCGCTGTGGGACACTGAGGCCCAAGTGCTTGGTTTGAGGCTTGAGGTCCTGTCCTCGCCTCTGCTCTCGGTAGAGGCTGCAGAGTGTATGTATGGGGCGGGGGAACTTTGAGCTTTCAGCGACCTTTGAGCCATCATCACTACCTAAACTGACCTCGGGGGTAGAGGGGATTTGGATGCAGCAAGGCCACAGAGTCCCCCATTTTCTCTTCTCTCCCCCTGGGGAGCCTGTAGTTAAACCCAGCTCTCTCTCCAGACCTGAGGACCTGGGGCCTGAGGCACAGCCTACCGCGTTGAGCTGAGTGGGTACCACCCCCTCCTGCCTTTGCCTTCCCCAGCCTGCCTGGCCTACTGAGGGTGGTGGCCAGGTTTTCAAAGGCCCCAGTCTCGGGGTTCCAAGCAATGGCCTCCTGAATCGGCTCACTGGCCAAGGAAAGGAAAGAAAGAAGGGAAGGAGAGAGAGGGAGAAAGAAGGAAAATTTCTAGTAACAAAGGTAGAGGCTTCACAAAAACATTCAAGCCATTGTTTATTCACCAGAGAGTGGTTTGCTTTTGGAAGGGTGCTTTGGGGGGGGATCCCATTTACCCCCACCTTTGTAAAAATTGAAACCATCGGCTTTTTCCAAGGGGAAATTCCCAGTAGAGCCACTTGGTCCTTCAAAAGTGAATCGGGAGAATGGGAGAGGGGCTGAGAGGGAACAGAGAAGAGGAGGGGAGCGAACCAGGGTCTTGGATGTTCAGTGCGAGGCTGAGGGGGCGGTGAGGCAGCCGAAGGCAGAGTTAAGTTGTTGCCGAAGAGAACATTTTTATCAAGTGCGGGGGATTTTATGGTCATGATTTGAGGACTCACCGGTGAGGGAGAAATTCAATGGCTTGTTCTAAATCATCCCTACACCGTGCCAGAAATTCCTGATGGAAGGAAAATGTTTCTATTATAAGAAAAAAACAAGAAAGAGCGAGGAGATAATTTATAAACACCCAACGGAGCGCAGATTTATTAGAGAAACTCAAGTTGAGAAACTCCGCTTGCCTCTTTGCACCAGGTCCTGGGGGAAAAGAAGAGAGACCGCGGCAGGGCTAATTTTAAGGAGGGGGCTGTGTGTTTCTCAGGCAGGTTTGTCCGGATGGGGGACACGGATCAGGCTGGGCCGGGAGGAAATGGGAGATTTGGAATTAAAAGGGTTATGGGCAGACAGCGCGCGGGTCTCAGAAGGAAAATTGCCCGAGTCCAGGCCTCCAGCTGCTAAACTGCGAAAGGGCCCTTGTCCCCTAGGTTTGCCGGGGCCGTGGCGCACGGAGTCCGAGCTCCCACCTGGAAACCACGGAACGCGGAGAGAATCGCGCTCCTGCTTCCTGCCGCCGTGCCTGCCCCCACATGTATCCGGCAAACTCACACTTTTTGGGCTGCCCAACTTGGGGCGCACGGAACAACCGAGAAAACATACGAGACCTCCCCGCGCCTCGCAGTCCTGGGGAGCCCCTGCCCGGCGCCCGGCTCACCCGGCGCGCGCCCAGCCCGGGACGCGTACAAAGGCTCTGAAGCTTCTGTCCGTGCTGATCCGCTCCGCCCGCTTTGGGCACCTTCGAATCCCCACCAAAGCCGGGGATCCATTCCACCCCCCCCAAGGTGTACCCCGCACACCTCGGGCTGGCTCACCCGGTTCCCTCTGCTGCTGATCCCGTTTCGGGGCAGCTTCCTCTCCATCCGACCTTCTTCTGCCCGCTCGCCCCTTTCACCTGACCTGCTCACCCGCATCTGCAGATATTCCTCTAGCCCCCCTCCCGGAAAATCTCATTTTTCCGAACTAATTCTCCTCTTTTATTTTGCCCATTTTTCTTTTATTATTATTATTATTATTACTATTCCCCGTTTTCATGCATTTGTTGCCCCACCGACCACAGAAACTGGGTGAGAAGCACTGAGACCTCCTCCTGGGGAAAACTCAGAAAATTGACCATTTGGGGGGGGCGCAATACGCTATATCTGAAATCTATAAAATGGGGGGAACGGCCATAATGAACCCTATATTTTTATTACGCGCAAATTATTCATGACTTTTGGTAGCGCTCAGTTCACAGACTCAGGGCCGACCAAGGTGCGATGTGCAGCCGCCAGAGCCCGCAGCCGCCGCTCCGGGGATTTTCGCGTGGAGCAAGGGTGCCATCTAGCGGCCATCCTGAGAAAAGGCGCCGCCGCCACCACCGGCTCGGCCGGTTTCTCCCGAGAGCCAGCCACGGAGGCGACAAGCGAGAGAAACTTTCATTATTAGCAGAAAAGGGGGAGGGAAACGAGAGCAGGCGAGAGAAAAGACATCGGAAATCAGGAAATGGCTCATGAAATTGTGCAGATAAGCTAAAAAAGAAAAAGGCGAGGGGGGTAAGGAGGGAAAAAAGAAACCATAAGCTTTTTTCCTCTCGTACTGACCCCCGCCCCCCAGCAAGCCCCTAATTTCTGGCGGAGACCGCCAGGCAGTGCGCCCTTTATGGCCCGTAAAAGGGGGGAGCCGAGCACTTTTCAAACCCAACACGATTGTTTCAAATTCTGAGGAGAAACAATTGGGCTTTTTTTTTGCCGGGGGGGGGGGAGAAGAGACCTGGGGGGAGGGGAGGGGGCTGTAAAAGGGTCAAGAGGCTGCCCGCGCCCAGACGTCTGGCCCCGCCGGACCCGTGCGTGTGCGCGCGCGTGTGTGTGTGTGCGTGTGCGCGCGCGCGTGTGCGCAGGGGGCTTCTCGTTTATGACGCCCGATTCTGGAGGGGGTGTGAAGAACAAAGAGAAGAGTCCGAATTGCGTTCTCTGAAGCTTGCGTGACAACAAAGTGTTCTTCCCTCCCCAGTCCCCCTTCTCCCCTCTTTGCCCCCTGGGCGGCCCCCGCAAACCCCAAGGCCCGCGGCCCGGGACGGGCGAGCGTGGGGGCTCCGGAGCCTGGCCCACCCGTTCGCCCGCCAGCCCCAGAGCCCAGGCCCAGCTGCGGCTCTCTCAGCTCCGGAAAGTTTCCCCTCACTGTTTGCTTTGCTGCTGTTTAGTTTCTTAACCTTCAGAAATTTATACGCTATAAACTTTTATAGCGGTCATATTCTTTTATTGCTGCGCACACGGCATTGAATTCCTCTCCCGGCTTCTCCGTCTCGCACTCTCGCGGTCTCCCTCTCTGAATCTCTCGCTCTCTTTTATGACAACAGATTTCCCCATCTCCGGCTTCCCAGCCTCCGCATCTTCGCCTTTGTTTGTCTTTAAAGAAGCCACCCCGGGCTCGGGACCCAGACGCCGCCAGAGGCTTCCCCGGGAGGCCTCGACCCCCGCCCCGCCGCTCTCCGTCCGGTTCCAGCCGCGCCTTCGCCTTTCCTCTCGGCGGAAGCTTGCCTGCTCGGCTCACCCTCCGCGCCGGCTGGCTCCGGGGCGCCCAGGATGGGGAGGGAGCCTAGTCTACACAAGCTCTAAAGCCAGATTCATTTTATAACCTGAATGGAACCCTCCTCGGAGGATGCGGTCCCGGGGACCGTCGTACCCAGTGCCGTACCCGGGAGCTTCGCCTTCTCCTGCCTTTGGCTATCTGTCCGATTATATCTTTCGTTCGCTGGAGAGGGGTAGGCCTGGCCTTTTCTCTTCCAGGCGCCTGTCACTCGGGCCACGCTTTGTCCCCACTTCTCCCCCAACCCTCGGGGGCTCGGCGGGCTGCAGCGCCGCTGGGGTGGGCCTGGCGGGAGGCTCCGGCGGCCGGCCGGTTCCCCAGCGCCAGCCGGGCGGGCAGAAGCCCAATCCGAGCGCCTGGCTGAGACGGGCAAGGCCGCGGGGAGCAGCGATCTTCCTAAGAGGCTCTGGAGGGGACACCACGGTCTGATGGGGACAGAAAGGTGCCTCTGGCAACCAAATTTAGTTTTGGGGTCCGACTGGGGAGTGATTTTTCCCCCCCTCCGGAGACACTTCTGTTGCACTCCCAAACTCCTGGAGCTGCCTGTCCAGGCCTCTCCCCTTACCAAACCACCCGCTTTCCACCAAGGCTGCTACCCTGTGGCTCAAATCCGAGCCTCAGATTCCAGGTGGGGGCCAGAACCCTCAGAGGTTCACTCCTTTTGAGCGGAAGGAAGGACAGCCTGGTCTTCCTAAGGCCTTTATCTATGCCCAGTAGCCCGCTGCAGGGAATGGGTGAAGGAAGTTAGTGCCCAAACCAATCTGATGTTCTTGGGCAGCTGAGAGAGGAACCTCTTCCAGGAGTAGCAGGACAGGCCTTGCCTTCCCTCTGACTCTGGAGTTGGTAGGGAGGTCTCCAGTGCCACTTTGGAGGAAGATATTGCTCCCTGCAGACAAGACCCCTCTCCAAACCACTCATCTTTCCTTCCATCCCCCTCCGGTCTTCCAGCTCTCCCGCTGGAAGGCTCTTGCTCGCTTTAAGCAGAGGTCTTGGGACCTTGGGTCCAGACCAGTTCTCAGCTCCACCAGGAAGCTTGCTCTGCAAGGTCTAAGGAGACACCTCTTGGGCCCGGGAGTCTCTGTTTTTTTCCAAGCTGCCCTCTTGGAACTAGGACCTCTACCTCTGGCCAGGTGAGGAGAGCCAACACAGAATGAGACACAAAGAGAGATTTATTTTCTAGAGTGATATATATTTTTTTGTTCTTTTTCTTGTTTTTTTTTTCTTCCAAAAGAAACAATCAGAGCTCTAGGCCCCTTGCCCTCCCCGTTCCCACCCACAACCCTCCCATATAAGCGACAACTGAAAACAGACGAGACGATCACCCCCAAAGAAATCACAAAACACAGCACAATTTCACGACAGTCACCGACAAAGCAAAAAAAGTTCTACTGGAATGTCCCCTTGCAGGGTCGGGAGAAGCAGGAGCAAGAAGAGTTCATGGAATTGAAGGGGACTGGACAGATGGGGGAGCAGGGGGGGGAGGAAGGGAAGCAGAGAGTGAGCTTCGGGCCGATGCTTAGGTGCCATCTCGCCTCTTTCCTTTGCACGCGGGACCGCGTTGCCCGGAAGCGCGCGCAGCAGCGGAGCAGACCGCCATCCAGGCCCGAGTCGCGGGAGGCAAAGCCCGGCGCCGGGGCAGGTCTCGTTCTGCGCTGGGGCAGGCAGCCGCCGAGCCCGGGGCTCCTCCGCTTGGGTCGAGACGTGGGCAGGATAGGGAGGAATGCGCCAGGCTCCCCGCGCTGGAGCCTTTGCTCCTCCGGTCCTCCACAAGTTATCCCGGAAGGGAGCTCAGGAATCGGTTCACAATAAATTCTCAATAGGACTCTCCTGACCTGGCTTTCCTGTCTCTTTTAGGGTTGAGCTAGCAGGGGATGGAGGGTGGATGGGGGGGCGGTTTCTACAAGGGGCGGCTTGACTCGCTGGTGCAAGGTGGATTTGGCTGAACAGAGTTGATTTCAGAGCTGGGAAGGATGTGGAAGGATGCAGGGCCGGTGGAGAGCAAGAGAAGCTACAGTCTCTGTCAAGCGGGGCACAGATGAACAGACAGACGACATTGTCAAGGCTTACGACCCACGATTTGACCTCCTTTTGTTGGAAGGAGAGGAAAACAACATGCAGAATTAAACATTTCCTGCAACAAAATGTGTGTGTGTGGAACACCTTCATAAGTCCTAGGATACCTTCATAAGACCACTGCTGCCTTTCCTTGCCCCTTCTAGCCCCCCAACTTGGGGGCTGAGTTTACCCCCATTTGCCCTTGGGTCCAGAGGGGGTACAGTTGGGGATTCCATAGAGATGGTATTGTGATGCTGAGCCCTTTGGGCTACAGAGCCTCATTCAGGAATGTGTCTCTAGACATCCTCTTGATGTGTTACTTGTGTCAAAGGTAAAATCTGGGCTTGCTGGTGGTCTGAGGGCTGTTCTGCCAGATTTGGGGTGCGGTGGTCTGAATTTGGGGTGTCACTTCATTGAGTGTTGGCTGTGAGCTTTCCCCGTTATTACTGTGGGCTCCAGGCTTTATGTATGTGGGCTTCTGTTGGGCTGTGTGCAGGTGGAGTGTCCCTGGGTGACTTTGGGGTGGGTGCGGGTAGGGGGTGGAGATAAGTAGGCTAGAAGTGAGGGGCTGGGGCTTCCCAGAAAAATTAAGGGGATTCCTAGGGGGGCTTGACTAGGGTCTCTCTTTCCTTGTGGCCCATCACCTTGTTAGAAGCCAACTACATGTCTACCTTCTAAATCAACAAAACTTCCTTCTGAGGCTCAGGGAGAAGAGAAGGACAGGTAAAGGGGCAAAGGAAAGGAGATGCTCTAGATGCAGAAAAGGACTTGGAGGAGAAAGACTCCCTTCCCCATTCACTTGAATACGTCCCAGACAGCACTGGCCCTGTAGCCATCACTTATAAATACGTGTGAGATGGGGAAGGGGCGGGGAGGGCTGGGGGGGGGGGTCTTCACTCTTTGCCCTGTTCCTTATTCATTTTCTTCATTTTCATCCGCCGGTTCTGAAACCAGATTTTGACTTGTCTCTCACTCAGATTGAGGAGTCTGGCCACTTCGTGCCTACGGTCCCTGGTGAGGTACATATTGAACAGAAACTCCTTCTCTAGCTCCAGCGTCTGGTATTTGGTGTAGGGACAGCGCTTTTTCCGGGAAGAGCGAGCGTGCAGCCAGTTGGCGGAGGGGTTGGCTGAAAGAGAAGCAGCGATAGAATCAAAGAAAGGAAGGGGGGATGGAAGGCCCCCATGTTCTCCTTCCAAGAGGACGTACCCTTGGCCTCCACTCCCCATCTTGCATTGCAGAGAGGGGACCTGGGCCTTCAAGTTCCCAGAAGGCATCCCAGAGATGGGCCAGGAGTTGCTATTGACACCTTCAGGTGAGAGTTACTTGAACAGAGTGGAGCCAAACACGTACCAGGCTTCTCAGCATTTCCAAAGCTTTGCCTGCCTCAGGTCCTCTCTCAATCTCTTTCTCCACTTGGGTCCCCACTGATCAGGACTGAGGTCAAAGCCCAGCATGGCTAAAGCACCCCCCCACACACACACACACACTGGCATCATCAGACTAACCAGAGGTGGTTGACCTGGAGGGTCCTGGCCTTGGGTCTGGGGGCGTCAGAGTAGGGCTGGGCTGGGGGAGAGCGGCTTCTGTTCAGCCACAGCCGAGAGACCTCCTGGCTCTCCAGCCCAGTCAGAGTGCACCCTGCCTTAATCACAAGCTTGCATCCCTTGGCCACATGGCAGCAGGTATGTGTGTCTGTAGATAACTTGTCCCCCCACAACACACACATCGCAAACATGGGTCTGCACTTAGAGACGCAAACATCCAGCACACTCCAATTCACATGCAACCCAATTGCAACCATTTATCAACTCCAGCCTGTGGACAAGGGAGCGCCAGGGGCTCACAGATAACTTATGGTTGCAATAGTCTCTCCTTTTCCGCTCCTGCTCAGCTCGCAGTTTGGTTAAAGCAAGTTCAGGGAAATTGGGAAGCAAGATTGCTCCAGTCCCAAGATGGGGAGCCGTGGATGATGTGGGGGTAACAGAAAGCCCTTCAGACCACACCTAACTCCAACTGGTTCCATGTGAGGAAGAGCAGAGAAAGGGGTAATTGAGGTGGGGGGGGGAAGAGGAAACAAAAATATATACAGGCTTGTCTCCTTTACCATCTCTCTCCCTACCCTCCCGAACTCAGAAAAGTTGCCAAATAAAGCAGAGCCAATTAAAAATAACAGCCACCCTTTGCTAGATTCTTCTCCCCAAATGAAAAGCACTGAATATATTTTTTAAAAATAATCTGGTTCCTCCTACACTAAGTACCGTGTCTTACCAATTTGCAGTGCTATTTCCTTAATGTGATTGCCTGGGATGGGACCCGCAGCCACATTAAATATGAAAGAGGAAAAAAACTGTTAATAATTGATCCTAGCCAAACCACGGCCTTGCAGTAATGGGCTTTCCAGGCAGAGTTTGGGGGTTTGGGGTGGGGGGTCTGTTTGGGTGTGAGCAGGGAGGTTTTGGGAAGAGCCCGGGTTACCCAATCGCTAGTTCTGGTTCTTAACCCCGGCTGGCTGGAGAAGGTAGCACCCTGCAGGAACCTCAGGGGAGTGGGGCAGCCCTCTGTCCTCCAGCAGACGGGGACGCCGCAAAGGGCCTGTGGGCCACTATGTTGATGCGAAATCTGGCAGGGCAAGCAGAGACGAAAAAAATCTGACCCTCGCTCCCCCAAAAGAGTAAGGCGTGAGGACTTGTTCCGGCCAGCCTGGGGGTTATTGTTTGGAGCTAAGAGCCCCCAGCCAATTTGCCTTTCTCAACCTTACAAACGAAAAATATGAGACTCCCCCCGCCTCCACATCCAGCCAGCAGCACCTCCTGGAAATTAGCCAGACTTGGGTTCCTGGCGGGGGTGCTTCTGGAGGAGTGGGAGATGAGGAGTAACTACCATCGGAGGGTAAAGTTCTCCGCCTTTCCGCAAGCCTCTCTCCCCCCCCCCACCCTTTCTCTCCCCAGGGTCCCTTTGGGATCTCTCCTTCTCCACTCTGGCTGTCGGCCCCGAAGTTCAGAAGCGATTCCCGGACTCCCCGAGAGGCGGACAGCTCCGGCTGGGGCTAGGGAGCCCCGCGGAGCTCAGGGGGCGCTGCAGAAAAGGAAGCTGCGACCCGGGCGAGGATGCCAAGGAGGGGAGGGGGTGGCCGGAGGGAAGGCTCCCGGGGAGGGGCCGGCGCATCCGGGGAGGGGGCTCAGTCACCGGGTCCTGGGCTTCCCCGCCCCTCCCGGCGCCGGCTGCGGACCCTGAGCGGCTACTGCGCGAGATCTGCTACGAACGATCCTCCGCCAAGCTGTTGCATCGCAAATAAAATCCTAATGAGCCCCCTCCCACTTCCCCTTGGCCGGCTTTTACGGTCTGCGCGTGGCGCGGGGAGCTCTGCCAGCCGCGCGGCCCCGAGCAGCCCCGTGCGCTCCCGGCCTCGCCCGCGCGGGCTCCCGGCCTCGCTGGCTGCCGCCCGGTCCCCGGCCCCGCCAGCCCCTCTCCCCGGCCGGCCGTCGTCAGCCTCCTCCCCGGGCTCTGAGCCCGAGCCCCGGGGGAGTGGGGGGAAGGGAGGCCGAGAGAGCAGCGAGGTGGTGCCTGCGCCCCAGTTCCCCTCCCGGACGCGGAGCCGTGGGGGCGGCGCTCCTCCAGCGGCCTGTCTCCCCTTCGGGGGCACCCCGCTTGCTTGCCTCCTTGCTCCCTCTTCCCTCCTCCCCCGCTCACTCTCCGGCCACCGCCGCGGTCTCCCTTCACATTGTCCGCAGTTTATTGCCTCTCCCCTCCCCTCCCCCTCGCCTGGCCTTCGGCCTGGTATTTCCTCACTTTTTATAACTTACTTTGATCCGGCCTCTCTTTGTCCTCGCTTCCTTCGCAAATTTTATTGTCCCCGTAGCCGGGTCTTTGATTAGACAGGACGGCCTCCCTGCCCGCCGAAGTTTCCAAACTGTACTCGGGCGTACCCTGTTTGAGCAGCTCCCCAGGCGCGCCCAGCAGCGGCTCCGCCTTCACCGCCGCCTGGCCCTGCCCCGGAGCAGCTTCGCCGCGCGGCGCCGGCTCCAGCCAGGTGCGGAGGTACCTGCTCTCGGCCGGCGGGACGCCCTGGGGCTGCAGGTAGGGGTGGTAGACGGACGGCAGGCTTGCGGACGCGTGCGGGCTCAGCGGCGCCCAGGAGGCGCCGAACACCGGCGCTTTGGGCTGGAAGCTGCACGAGGGGAACTCCAGGTGCTCCGCGTGGCCCGGCTGCCGGGGGCTCGCGTACTGGCCGGAAGGAAACTTGGCTGGAGGAGCGTCCTCACTCTCGTGACTTATGATCGAGTCGACATAATAGCTGCTAAGCGTCCCAGAAATGGACATTCTCAGACATTATCCGGGCGCTCGCAGGGGGAAGGGAAGCGCTCGCGCGGCGGCGCCCAAGCAGGGAGAGGTGGCACCCAGACCGGTGTGAGGGCTTTCGGACGCGACCCCCCCAGCCCCCCACCCTCCCACCCCCACCCCCTGCTCAACTTCTCAGCCAACAAAGTACAGTGGAGCAGCCCGGCTCAGCGCTCCTTGCAAAATGATTGGTCAAAGTTTTTCCGACTGCCTGATAAAGCGTCAGCTCCAACATAAATCAATCGGGCGAGGGGGCTGCGCTCTCGCTGTCATCCGTCCGCACCGCATTCCATATCGAGGATGGATTGTTTTATGCTGATGCAATGTGCTATCACGTCAGGGCTCCAGCGGCCACGTAACCTCAGCCTGAGCTGCCGGCCGCCCGCCCGCCCGCGCCCCCCCCCTTTTGCGGGAAGGGGGGTTGTTCTCGACATGGGGCGGCGGGGGCGGAGGAGAGGCGGAGGGAAAGCAGCGGGCTGCCTCGGGAGGGATGCAGGCTGTGGAGCCCTCTCCCCAGGCGGGTCCGGGAGGAAGAGAGGGCGAGCTGGGCAGAGGGAGGGAGGGAGCCAGCCTGGGGCGCAGACCGAGAGGCCCACAGCATAATTAAAGAGGAGGTGGTCCTCTCCCCACCCCCCCTCCGCAAACGCACTGCCACTCCACCCCGCAGGCCTCGTTTCCTCTCCTCTGTCCCCTTGACACAAGATGTTTATTAAACGGCAGTGCAACGGCAATCCATTGGAGATGAAGTGACGGGGATGGGGGAGAATTTGGGGGGTTATAGGGCGTTATCTGCTTTGGAGGGTTCTCTGTGACTATGTTGGGAGGTTTACAGGCCTGGGAGCTTCTCCTGACCCCTCCGGAGCTGAGACAGGAGACAGGGGAATCAAAGGGGGTGCGTGTCCAATGATCTGGTCCTAAAATTCAGTTATCCTAAAATTAGAACCTACATGAGGTTGAAGGTATTCATCAGGCTCTGGAAAGTTGAGCCTCTGAAAGAGTTTAATACAACTAGCCAAAGCTCCTTTAAATTTCTAGGGCCTCTCTCTGGCCCTGCTCAGAGGGAAGTATGGTGTTCCGGGGGTGGGGGCATAGCCACGACTCCTTCCCTTCCCTGATAACCGCCCAGGCCCTTAAAATTGCCCATTGGGGGAGCTGAATGTGAGAAAGGGTTAAGGGAACTTCCCTAAGGTGTCAGCAGAGCAGAGTATGGACAGGGGTCCCATGGTTATCTCCCCTGACACCCAGGGAAGAAGGGGACCAGTGAGTTTTTGCCTCTTCTGGATGCCTCCTCTCTCCCAGCATTGCCGTCCTGATGGATTTCCAAATATCGGTATCAGGTACCAGTGTAGACAGAGAGCCTGCGGGTCAGTCTCCCGACCACCCGTCGCCTTCCCTCCTGTGAACTCTGGCTGGAGCTTTCAGATAGCCCGGTTTATTGGTATCTACTATGCGGCTCTGCGCTGGGACTCCCCTGGGGCCACCGGCTGGCTTTCTGGCTCATCTCCCAGCCGCTGCTCCTCCAGCTTCTGCCCTGGGTACAGTCGCTTCTTGTGATGTAGGCACACAAGGAGGCACAGCCCCTGGCCAGACCCGATTCTCCTCCGGGTGGGTTTAGGAGCAGGCTGGGGCGGGTTTTCTCAGCATTGCCGGGCCCTGGGCCCTCAACCAGGCCTGTCCTTTTAACAAAAGCGGGGCCTTTCTAATTTGAGGTTTTATCTTTTTGGCCATGTACCCCTCTGCCATGCAGAAGGCTGCGGATCACCTCCGCGCACACACAGACACACTCCCGCCCGCTTTTCTTTTCCAAATGAAGCCATCTCGTGTCATTACGTGTGAAATACGAGGGTGAAGCGCCATATTTCTTCACATTATGGCGATTTCAAAATGATTTTTTAAAGATCAATGCCAGCGCCCAGCCGGCCCCCTCCTCTTCCACCCCAGCTCTCCGAGGGCGACAGCCCAGCAGATCCGGAACCAAACGGCGGGAAGATCTGCTCTTTCCATGGGACCCAAGTGGGGAAACAAAAATCCGATGCAAATTCTTCTAAGTAGCGGTTGGACGCTTGGGAAAGTCCAGGGAGCTCCCCGGACTCGACAGCGAGAAAGCTGCGCGCAGAGCGAATGAATCACAGTTAAGGCAAAGCACCTGTTCTCGATTTGCCAGACGTATGGAGTCTGCTGTTGGCTTTACCTGTAATAAATATATTCTTCAAAGAAAAAAAAAACCCTCTCCTGCCATAAATAATGGTGTTATGAAGCATGGCGGGCTGAGAATATGACTTTCTGTAGTATATAAATTAGGGCCCGAAAGGCCATATGGACTGTGGGCAGGGCCTTTTTTATTTATAGAAAAGCCACAGCGCTGGGCTGTTCTTAAGACCCAGGCTGTGCAGGCGCTGGGCTCTGACTGCAGCCCTTCTGGTTCCCATTCCCGGCCCAGACTTTGATGCTGCCTCTCTTTGCAATAAGAGAGAAGTCGAGAGGGACACTTAGTTTAGGGAAGAAGTTAGAGGAAGAACATTTGGGCTCAGGACTTGTGCCCCACAAGGGTGGAGAGTCCCAGCAGAGGGGGGCTAAGTTTGTGAGTTGCTGTCTGTATGGGGAGTTGCTCCTAAGCCCTGGTAGCTCCCAGGTGCTGGGTAAAGAGGAGACCCAGGCCTCTTTCCTGAGACCAGAGCTTTGCCTTTGCTCATAAAACTGGAGGGTGGGGACAATTTCAAAATGACAGGTTTTGAGGTATCTGTCTTCTCAGGAGAGGGAACTCTGGAGCGAAGGGAATGAGCAAGCACCCACGCCCTGGGCCCTACACCCCAGCTCTCTTCCCTCCAGGTGGGGATGCAGATGCATCAAGCAATTGTCCCATCCTAGCCAGGCTTTCTAGAACACACTGCTGCCCCAAACTGGAGCTGAACTCCAGCTCAGGGAAAGGGTTAAAGTGTCAGCTGGGAAGGAGCCCCTTGTCTGGGTGCTCTGAGGGTCTGTGGACGCCCTGAGAACCTTGTTTCCTCTCCCAAACAATGGTACCCACCATGGAGGAGGGAGGCAAACAGGATCGCCGCCCCTGGAGTCCAGCTTCTAAAGATGCTTAATGGAGAGGTTGCTTGAGTGGGGGGATCACTTTGTCCGGAGAGCAAACTGCTCCCCATCCCACCCTAGATCCTAAAGAGAAAGAAGGAAAACCTTGCCTTCCTTCGCAGCCTCTAGCCATTCCCAGCACAGGAGCCACGCCTGAACACAGCTAGGGCCAGGAACTGGTGGCTCAGAGAAGGGCAGGCAGGGGAGAGCTGCAACCCTGGGCCACACTGGGGCCCAGAGCAGCCAAGAGCGAGGCCGAGGTGGGGAGAGAAGAGGCCGAACCTGGCCAGGACCAGCCCAACCGGTGAGTGCCTGTGTTACAGGGGTGACTTTTGGAAAGATTCTTGTCAATAAGGAGAGAGAGAAAATCTAGACAGAGAGAAGGAAAAACAAAAAGAAAAACAATAAATGGGAAAAGGGGGAAAGTTTGTGTTTAAACTTTGATAATTGATAAGCTAAGCTGAAATTTATGCATGTTGTATTTGGATAGACATGTGTGTCCTATAGGTATATTTCAAATCAATATTTATTTATGGGGACCCAGTGTGCAAATGTGCTGTGCTCTATGCTGTGTATAGACTATGTAATAAATAAATATGCCCAACTATAATACTGGATGTGCTTGGGCATTCATATAGAAGATCCAATGGTGCATATGTGGATGCGTGTATAACCCCTGTGAATGATGTGGGTTTACAATTCTGTTCATATAAGAAGATCTATTACCCAAAAATTGTTGCGTACATTTTTATAACAATCACACACCTATGGAAAGGATGAAAACTTGAGTATTTGTGTACTTGAATTTTGGCTATAAAACATTATCTGATTAGGAAGCTTTGTTTGAAAATCTCCTGTTGACTTGATATTCAAGCAAAATATTTACCGTATCCTCAAACAAGAGCATGTAACTTAAATTTGAATTCTTTTACAACTTTCTCCTAAAATATTTCTCTGAAAGGTGAAGGAAATGACTCGAATTGGCCCAGGAGAGGTCATGAAATTTTGTGACTTTTTGGTTTGACCATGACATCCTTTACTGCATATCTCACCCAAAAGTGCAGGGACAGTGTGCATCGTGTGATGCCTATTTCACGGTAGAGATGGGCATAAGAATCAAGGCACCATACTTGTGCACAAGTGTGTCCCTCACAAGTGTGAATCTGGCCAGTGGGCAAATGTGAGTGCAATGTGAAAGCCCTCAGGTAACTGCAGGGGTCATACAAAGCCCTGCTGTCTCCAACGAAATTAGAAAGGTCCCCACGTCTATGTCCCCAACCACCCGGGGATATTTCTTCTGACCCAGACCCAGAGTCCAGACCCACTCTGGGAAAGAAAGAGGTGTGGGGATGCTTGCTTGGGGGAGGGGTGTTGGGAGAAGAAACCCTGGTCTCCAGAACCTTCAGCCTTTATCCAAAAGAGCCTCTAAAATGGATCACATCGAATCTACACCCATGGGTTCAAACCTCAGTGCTTCCAAAGCCTCCAAGTAGGGATTCTAATTGTAAAGTAACGAAATCTCCTGCCAAATCTCCCTCCCAGGATGTCAGAGGTGAAAGGAGGAACAGAGAGGTCAGCAGCCCAAGCAGACCTCAGGAATCTTCTTACCAACTCTCAGCCATCAGGGACATGGAAGGCAGTGGGGGTGGCTGGCTCTTTGGGAGGGGGCATCCAGGAGGCCAAACGGGGTGGGCGGCAGGCGGGGCGGAAAGGAGCTGAGCAGGTAGAAGGTTATTACGGAATTGCTTCCATAAAACCTGTGGCTGTTGTAAAACTCTCTGCTTTCCAAAGACTTTATTTCCTCTTTTCTCTCTAACATCCCCCTTTTTTCTTTTTACAGCACTGTTCCTGGGAGGGGGTGGCCAAGAGACACCAGGGATGGAAGACAGGCTCCAGGATCCCGGTGGCTGGGCAGGTTTGTGAGAGGCCCAGAGAGAAGTAAGGTAAGGCAGTAAGACGCTCCAGACCACCTTCACCCAGGCTGGAGAACAAGAAAATGTCAAGGAACAGCGTTGTCGGCCTTTGCCCACCAGGACAGTGGATTGAAGGCTGCATTTCTTCCAGGGCTGGGGGTGGGTCTCCCAAGGGCCCTTCCACTCCCAGCAGATGCC